AGATTCGTGCATGTTCGTCGTGTGCGCGGTCATTATGTTTGTGTGTGTGTGCGTGCGGTAGCGCATCTGTGTGCTATTGCGTGCATGTTGCGTGTGTGGCGCGCGGCGTGGACATCTCGTGTGTATGTGCGTGCATGTGTGTGTGTGCGTGGGCAATGTTTGTGCGTGCGTGTGGGCGCGCGCGTGGGCATCGTGTATGTGATGTGCGTGCATGTTCGGTGTGTGCGTGCATGTTTGTGTTGTGTGTGCGTGCGCGCGCGGTGGGCACTGTGTGCATGTGCGTGCATGTTCGTGTGTGTGCGTGCGTGCGCATCTGAGTGTGTATGTGCGTGCATGTTTTTGTATGTGTGCGTGTGCGTGCCGCGCGCGTGGGCATCTGTGTGTATGTGCGTGCATGATTTGTGTGTCGCGTGCATGTTCGTGTGTGTGAGGCGTGGTCATCTGTGTGTAGTGGCCGTCGCCATGGTTCGTGGTGTGCGCGGTGCATGTTCGTGTGCCTGTGCGTGCATGTTTTTGTATGTGTGCCGTGGCGTGCGCGCGCGTGGCATCTCGTGTGTATGTGCGTGCATGTTCGTGTTGGTGTGCGCGTGCATGGTTACGTCAGTGTGTGCGTGCGTGCGCGATCTGTGTGTATGTTGCCGGTGGCATGTTTTTTGTATGTGTTGCGTGCCGTGCGCCCGCGTGGGCTCTGTATGTATGTGCGTGCACTGTTCGTGGTGGTGCGCGTGGGCATTTTTGACGTGTGTGGAGTGCGTGGGGCATCTAGTTGGTGTATGTGCGTGGGCATGTTTGTGTATGTGTCGCGTGCGTGCGCTGCGCGGTGGAGCATCTGTGTCGTATGTGCGTGCATGTTTTGTGTGTGTGCGTGCGTTGCGCGCGGACGTGGGCCATCATGTGTGTAGTGTGAAGGCTGCGTTCATGTTCGTCGCCCGTGTGCGCCCGCTGCATGCTTGTGTGTCGTATGGTGCGTGCATGTTCGTTGTGTGCGCGCGTGCATGTTTGGTTGTGTGTGTGCGTGCGTGCGCGCCGCCGTGGCTCTGGTGTAGCTGGCGTGGCATGTTCGTGGTGTGCGCGTGCTGTTTGGTGTGTGCTGTGCGTGGCATCTGTGCTGTATGTGCCGTCATGTTCTGTGTATGGTGCGTGCGTGCGCGCACCGGTGGGGCATCGCTGTGTGTATCGTGCGTGCATGTTTGTAGTGTTGTGCGTGCATGGTTTGTGTGTGTGTGCGCGCGTCGCCGTGCGTGCGCGTGTTTAATCTGTGTGATGTGTAGTGGTGTGTGTGTGTGTAAATTGATCGTGTGTGCAGTTTAGCGTTTATGCGCGCGCGCCGCGGCTGCTGTCCGCGTGGCGTGTGTGTGTGCTGTGTGTGTGTGTGTGTGTGTGTGTCGTGTGGTGTGGTGTGTTTGTGTGTGCTGTGTGTGCTGGTGTGTGTGTTGTGTGTGTGCGTGTGTGTGTGTGAAGAGAGTGTGTTGGTGTTGGCGTCGTGTGTTGTGCCGCGAGCTGCGCCAGTGTGTGTGCGTGTGCGCTGTCGTGTGTGTGTGCGTGTGTGTGTGTGTGTGTGTGTGCGTGGGTGCGAGAGAGAGAGACAGTGCTGTGTGGCGTCGTGTGTGTGTGTGTGCGCGCGCGCCGCGGTGTGTGTGTAACGCGAGCCGCCCGCGGCACGCGGTGCGAGGCTGATGCATGCACTGTCACATCTGTTCGTGCATCCGTGTCTATAACCTCAAGACTAAATGTTTTCCTAGTCGTGCGGCTTAGCACCATTGAAAATATACGATCGCTCGTGCCGCCCCACGCCGACGCCCCGAGCAGCGTGCGTATTGGCAGTGCATAAACACAATCCGCCACAGCTCTCCGAGTTACCTTCGCCCCGGATGCTTGCCTGCCCGCTCATCTAATCAAGACGTGCCTTCGCGCTCAGATCGTGTGCGCTAATTGACTATAGCCGAGATGTGTGTGATCTTAATTAAGAGTAAATCGTTGAGTGAAGCGCATGTGTGCTCTTCATATAAGATGTGCTCGCGCTCCGGAGCTGTGTCGCAATACCTAGCCGCGTGTGTGAGGCATAAGGTGCGTTCACCTGTGATTAAGAGACTGCGAGAAAGAGACCGAAAAGAGATATACGGCAGATAGAAACGAGAGGCAGACAGAGAACGAGAGAGAGGCAGACAGGGAGAAAAAAGGAAAGAGAAGGGAGGAGCGAGTAAAAAAGAGAGAGAGAGGCAGACAGAGAGAAGAGAGAGAGAGAGAGAGAGTAGAGACAGAGAGAGAGCCAGAAAGAGAGAGAGGAAGAGAGAGAGAAAGAGAGAGAGAGAGTGCAGAGAGAGAGAGAGACGAGCGGGAGACAGAGATAGGCAACAGAGAAAAGAGAGAGACGAGAGAGTAGAGAAGAGAGAGCGAGAGAGACGAGAGATGAGAGAGAGAGAGAGATCAGGAGAGGGAGGGGCAGACAGGTGAAGAGAGAGAGGGAGAGAGAGAGAGAGAAGAGGGAGAGAGAGAAAGCAGAGAGAGAGAGAGAGCGGAGAGAGAGACGAGAGAGCAGACACAAGAGAGATAGGGGAGGGCAGGAGGGAATCAGAGGCTCCAAGGCGAAGGGGATATATAGGACCCTATACATATATTCCTAATATATATATATATAGTGAAACAGAGAGACAGGGGGGAGGAAGCGTAATAAAGAGAGAGAAAGACAGGAACCGAGGGACTAGAGAGAGAGAGAGAGAGAGAGAGAGAGAGAGAGAGAGAGAGAGAGAGAGAGAGAAGAGAGAGAGAGAGAGCGAATAAGGCCAGCAGCAAATGGTTAGCGAGAGTAAGGGAGGGACTGGAACGCTTGGAATGCAATAACGTTGAACGCGAAGAGTGCCTTACTCGAGTATCGCCCTCGCGACAACACCAGCTAACCCCTCACCTCACTCTTACCACTCATTGAATACAGGAGCGATCCGTGCGCGGCGAGATGCGGAAGAACTTATTCGGCGTCGTGACAGTATGTATGTACGACTTCTTGCCGTTGTAGAAGTACGTGTCTGGCTTCCAGATACGATCGAGCATGCGTATCGCCACCGGAAGGTCTGCCAGGTTCTCGGCTCCTGGAAGGTGCTCGAAGGCGAGGCGCTTGTCCTGCCACCGCTGCCGGAAGTAGCAGTCCATGGAGTAAGCCTGCAGAAAGAGTTTATTCTAATTATTCGAGTGTTAATATATTCCATTGGTATATAATATACATATATATATATATATATATATGTGTGTGTGTGTGTGTGTGTGTGTGTGTGTGTGTGTGTGTGTGTGTGTGTGTGTGTGTGTGTGAATTATGTTTCAAGTCGTTCGTTAATTAAGCTATAATTCCCGCGTTATATTATACTAATGGTATATAAATAAATAAATAAATCAAATATATATTATTCATATAATATTATAAATAATGAATAAGTATATAAATATAATAAATATACACAAATATATATATATATATATATATATAACTTGGATGTTGGTAACGATGTAACAGAATGCAGCTCAATGACTGACAACGTCATCAACAAACGGAATAGCTTGAGATTAACCCCATAATGCGCACTAATGCCTTAAACCCTTTCCGTTACACCGCTCTACGTCCCGATAAAATCTTGCATATCCGCTATCGCAAAATTATCGCTTTTCTATACGCGCGGTTACGTCGAAATGCACTTATATATACTCACCATGTCCAGTTCGGAGATCGGGCCCATGCTACGTATGTTGATGTCTATTTTAACGATGAGCGCAGACCCTAAAACAGGCAGCAACGCAGGGATGTTCTTTTAGCAAATTACTATTAACCGAGATTATTTGCATTACGACGCATGCCCCCGAACACCCGCGTAATTCTGAATAGCGAATAAATCGATTGCATTAGCATGAGCTTGATCGCCCGCATGACGTGCAGCGCGGCTGTACGATGTTTTGATCTTTTACACCTATTTTTTGTACAGCGATCAAAGGTTGTGTTTCCTGTGACTTTTAGAAGACGCATACATCAACGGGATAAGAAAAAAGATAATAAAGATAAAAAGATGAAAGTATGGAGGAGATGGAGATTTGGCACTCATACTCATGCAGGCGACTGTAAGAACTGCCACCATTACCGGCTCTATCAGTAATCACGCAGACATTGTTCGCCCAATAACCAATTTCCCCGCCAACCATAACCAAGTTCTACCTTTATCTCTCTCTTTGCCTCCTCTCTCTCTCTCTCTCGTCTCTCTCTCTCTCTTTCCTCCCCCCTCTCTCTCTTCTCTCTCTCTTTCCTCCCCTCTCTCTCTCTCTCTCTCTTTCCCCCCACTCTCTCTCTCTCTCTCTCTTTCCTCCTCCACACTCTCTCTCCCTCCCTCTCTCTCCTCTCTCTCTCTCTCTCTCTCTCTCTCTCTTCTCTTTTCTCTCTCTCTTCTCTCTCTTCTCGCTCTCTCTCTCTCTATTTTCCTCCCCACTCTCTCTCTTTCTCACTCCGTTCTTTTCATATTTCTCCCACGAGCCTGTTAATATCTCCTTTTCGTTCCCCACGCTTCTCCTCCTGTCTCTCTCGCAAACACTTTATCCCACCCCTTCTTTCTATACCTATACACATTCAGGGGTGGATCACAGCGATTTCTTGAAAGCGGAGAGTGTCCAGGCAAGAAATAAAAGAACATTTTTTCCCTGCTTAGTTCTTCTGGTGTTTTAAAAAGCTGCCGAAGGCCACTTAAGGGGAGGGGACTCGTCGCCGAAGAAAACTGGTTAAAAAATGCGATGCATTATGAGAGCACATGAGCAGTAATTTTGCATGTCTAGAATTCAAAAGTGTATCCAGATCCGAGTTCCCCGGACGCCCCGCGCGACCCCTCTTTACCCGATTTCTAGGTTTGTATAACAAAATTATATATATACTATGTATATTATATATAGTAATATTTATACCGAAAACAACTAGCCCTAAAAAATTGGGATGAAATTTCTTTAGGGGCCACTTCTGAAATTAAAGCGGGGGTCTGACCCTGACCCCGCCATAAGATCCTGCCCCTGCACATAGATAAAATACTGCGACCACGCATTCATGCGGACACATCGTTGACCTCCCTGGCGGGGTCACTCGGATTGTTTAGAACCCTGCAGGCGAATGCTTCGCATACACCTACATGGACCGCCCGGCGCGCTTATTTAAGGTGGCATATAATTACCACTCAGCGAAGCCGCCTCCACTTCCGTTGAACAACAGGACCGCACAAGCGAGCGCAGGTCGCCCGACGTAGGCCGAATTAATGACATCAACATCATCTCTCTCTCCCTTTCTCTCTTCCTTTTTGCATGTGCGACGCGCGCGTTGTGGGCGCGCTGTGTGTGGCCGTGTTAGGTAGTGCGTCGGTGCGTGTGGGTGTGTGTGTATGCTGCGTGTTTGTGTGGCCGTGTGTGTGCAATGCGTGCGTGGTGTTGTGTGCGCGGGGAGCGGTGTGCGTGCGGTGTGTGTGCGTGGTGCTGCGTGATCGCACGCTGTGCGCGCGCGTGTGGTGTGTGTGTTGTGTGTGTGTGTGTGTGTGGGTGTGTGTGTGTGCACGACCNTGCGTTGCGTGCGTGCGTGCGTGTGCGTATGCGTGTGCGGGTGCGTGTGCGGGTGCGTGTGTGTGTGTGTGTGCGCGCACGTGCGTGCGTGCGTGCGTGTGCGTATGCGTGTGCGTGTGCGGGTGCGTGTGCATGTGTGTGCGTGTTTGTGTGTGCGTGTGTGTGTGTATGTGCTTGTGTGTGTGTGTGTGTGCGTGCGTGCGTGTGTGTGCGTGTGTGTGCGTGTGTGTGTGCGTGTGTGTGTGTGTGT